TGATTGGCTTTGCCTTTTGGCTATATAATAGTTTTTCTATTAAAAAATAATGTATATTTTTTTAACGGTTGGTAACTTTTCCTCATATTTATTTTAACTAATTGATACAAGTTTTATGAGTTAAATCTGTGATAAGGATAAGTCCGATATGCGAAACTGAGCCTCCCCGGTCTATGCCTATGAGGGGAGCCCGGCTTAAATCTGTGAGATATATGGCTAATATGAACTATAAAGATTGTATCAGACACAGAGGACATAATATTTAATAACTGATTAAAAAGGGGTAACATCAAAAGGAAAAACAAAAACACAGTAAAGTAAAATAGGAAATAAGGAAAAAAAAAAGTATCGTTTCCTGCAGTGAATTCTTGCTTGGTCATTTTCGAAAGCATTGGAATAAATAGCTGTGGTTCCATGAAATTTTACAGCACTTTTGATTAATATTGTAATGAAATGGGAAAATACAGGATTCTCCTCCATAACTGCCCCTCATTTATTGAAGTATTACAAAGCCTAGCCTCAGATAATTCAATACTCCAGTGTATCCAGGGGTCATAAAAGCTGAAATGCAGAAGTTTCAAAGTCGCTGCTACGTGTGATAAAAGGATAGGGAAGTATATGAATAAGGATAAACTGAAAGTGAAAATACCATAGGGACACTTATACAAAGGCTAGATTAAAAACAGTTAACCTTTGATTCTAATTTGATATTTGTTTCTGAGGAACAGTACCTCCGTTTTTTTGTTTTTTTTTTTCATATAGACGGTCAGCCGCATTTAGAAAGTACACAAATACCAAACAAACGGGAAATCAATTACAGGTAGTTTTGATATATCCAATGCTTTCCTGGTTTATTTTCCCCTCTTAATAATATGAGAGCCGTTATCGGAATGGAAACTGACGGAGCTACTAGTCTTAGTGGGAACTTCTCGTACAAACTTCTATTTCAAAACATATTACAATATTTGCAATAGTAATGAGAAATTACTATAAACAAATACCAATTGTGTGTGTAGAGCTAGCCTATAAAGTAATAACATAAACAGTGTTTGGCCTCAAGTTTAAATACCTGGTGTTTTTGACAACACAGAAAATGTTCCTTCCTATTTCCAATACACTGAGGTAGACGGTTCCTTTGGTCCCCACTTTCCTCAAATGATCTTTTGGCATGTACAAGGTTAAGCTGTATTGTTTAAACACTTGGTACATTGCAAGTATATATGTAACATACATGTGTGTGAGTGTGTGCACGCGCATATATACATGTGTGTGTGTGTGTGTGTGTATATATATATATATTTTATGTATACCATTAACTTTTAGCTATTCCGTCACGATATCCTGTTTTTTCTTTCTTTCTCTTACTGGAACTGCTATAATGAAAAGTAGGTGTGTGGTCAGCTGATCCCCTCATTCTTGTTACTTGCAGTGTAACACGCTAGTGTTATTCGAGTGTGTCTGCGGAGCAGTTATTTCATGATGTTGCTAGTTTTAAAGTCACGTTAGTGTAAAGAATCAGGAAGTTTTAATTTTGAATTTGAAACCTAATCGTGGTTTTATTATAAGTTTTCTTTTTTTTGAATTGATAGATTGCATAAGTTAGGGGTGTTTTTCCAACCTGGAAATAACATTGCCTTTTCTGTGTCCTTAAACTCTGGAATTGTTTGTGGGATTTTCTTTTCGTTTTTCTTTTTAATGTTAAGAGTTATATCTGCAGTTTGAATATCTCACAACTTAAAGCAATACGTTGATGAATTTTCGCATACATCTTTAACGTAAATGTCAGAATTTGTTTCATTATTGCTTACTATATGTTGATGAGTTGATGACGTCATTATGTATCTGTACATGATTGTGGAATTTAGTAGCTCGTTCTGTGCATGTGCAGAATTAACTTTGAGCTCAAAAGTAGAGCCCAGTCCCGAGGTGAATTAAAAGTTAATCCTGGTCGCTGCCATTGCACATGCGCATTAAAGATCTAGCTTACACTTTAATGCTGTATTAACTTTTATGGTGTGTGCAGAAGACACCCGTACTAATTTGCGCAGGTACCCTGATGTCCCCTACGGTGTGTACAGAAGACACCTGTACTGATTTGCGCAGGTACCCTGATGTCCCCTACAACTGTATTAATTTCAACTGTTTCATTTACAGTTGTATAGAGAGGTCGTAATAGATATAAGATCCCTTTCATTAGGGGTCAGCAACCTTTTTGGCACTTCTTAAAAAATTGGAGTAACTAGTAACTAGATCTCAAAGAGTAAGGATGTTGGTCCATTCTGAGTGAGCAAATATAGAACTTACTGGTATTGCAAAATATAGGTTATCTATTAGAATACTAGAGACCACACAAAGACTATTTGGTCTTAAGGTCTTCACATGTACAGTATAGTCAAGATCTTACGCAGACTTAGTGTGTGCAGTATCGTAATTTGTATACATATTGGTGTCAAAACCCTATATAACCTTCAGGGGCCGGATTACTAACGCACTTACGATGGTAACATCACTAGCATCTACATTTACGATCGTAAACGGACGTAGGTGGTATTCACTAACAACTTACCACTGGATTTACCATGGTAAATTGTATTAGAGGTCGGAGCATTGATAAGTCCGTAAGTATTTCAGGGAAGACAGTGTCATCCAAAAATCAATATTTAAACAAAGTTTAATACTGTTGTGATTGCAATGATGGCAAGCACATGTCACAAGAAGGTCATGGCGTAGAAATGCAAATTTTACATAAAAACGAGCAAGAATAAGGTCGACATAAAATCATAGTAGCATAGGCCTATATGAGAGTATTTGGGATTGATAAATCAATGAAATCTTAAAATACCCTTCTGCAATATCATTATTAGAAATTCTAAAGAAAAACAAACTTATACATAAACTGGCAAAGAAAACGTTCAACGAGTATAGCAGCTTCTGTCTGTCAACACTGAGTCAAAAGATAAACTCGAAACTGCAAGGGGCAAGAGCGAGTTTAGATTTTTTTTTCTTTTTGACGGCAAATGGCTATTAATAAAAATGTTTTGTTTGGCAAATATGAAGTTTGTAAATAATTACAAATTGTGTTTGAAATGATTCTTTGGTTGACAGTAAATATGTTATTAACGAGTATGACGGTGTGTACTGGTTCTTATTTTGACGATAAAAAGCCAGGGAGATTTTTTTAACATTCCACATGATAGTAATTATTAAAAAAACAAAAAATATTGCAAACTTTCTATATATAATTATATGGTGCATCAAGCCCCGCAAAATGAAAACACTCATTTGAACGCGAGCATTGTATCAATATTAGTTTTGAATGTTATTTAATATATAATATACGGATCTTATTTTACTGTACGACGGAAAAGATATATATATATTTTTTAAAGACTGAAGTTGCACCATTTTGGGTGGTCTCCATAGTTTTTGCGATGTTTTATTACAGATATCAGAAAGTACAAGAATTACCATATTTTAATGACTCTCATTCCCATATATATGTATATATATGCTCTTAACATATATATACCCATGCATGAGTGTATGTGCGTCCAAACGCATTCTCTGACCAAAGACATTTATTCCATGCTTTGTTAATCTAAACTTCCATCTATAACATAAATTTCGATATATCACAACAATCGTTAGATAGAGTGCATTAACGTAAATACGTCGATACTTGTGTTATAGATGTAAGTTTAAATTAACGAAACGCAATTTCGAGTAACTGGACGCGCATGACTTCAGGTCTATCTATATAAAAAAAGATGTAGGTTTATACAATACAAACGTAAATACACTCCCTCTCTAGTGAGTGTGTGTGTGTTTCGGAGAGATTTTAGGTTGGTTATCATCCGGCGGCAGTGAAATTTCGACATCTGTCCAGCCTAAAAGAAGAATAAAATCATCATCATTCAATTAGATTAAGATTAGGTGAATCAAAACACCGAGGAAGGGGAGTTGTCACGAGTCTGAAAATAAGAAATATGCAATACTGGATACTTTATTATTAATGAAATAGAGTAAGTGAAATTTTGAAATTATTTTTCCCGAAAATTTTGACTATAAAGTTGGTTACAAATCGTACAGTTAGTCGTACCAAGTGCGGCGCGCGGGATGCATACCAACCAGTCCCAGCAAAAGTCCCCAGGGAAGGAGCTTGTAGTTCAATAGTACGGGTTGTGAATGCGAAGCTCCCCGCACCCTTCCCTTGGAACTGGATCGCAGGGCCCGCTCCAACGCGGGCCCGGCGGATCAACGCCGTATTATAATACGGCGTTGATCCTTCCGCGGCGGGGTAGGATTTCCGTAATAAACCTAACGGGGAAGGCACTATTTACGGGGTGGGATCACGTGTGGGAAACACTGCCGATACATACATATATATATATATATATATATATATATATATATATATATATATATATATATATATATATATGTATAAATATACATACATATGTATATATATGTGTGTGTGTGTGTGCAATTATATATACATATCTCTCTCTCTCTCTCTTCATATATATATATATATATATATATATATATATATATATATATATATATATATATATGTATATCTACCTGTGCTGTGTGGTGCAGCGGTAGTGATCTCGTCTAGCAAAATTAATGGCCTGTGTTCAAATCTCTTGCCGCCAGGGGGTAATTTCGAAACAAGAATATCCACTGTAAGAAATTGAATAAAGCTAAATACTTTATGCGTGTGTGTGCGTGTATCTATATATCTATATCTATATCAATACCTGTCTGTCTATCTATCTATCTATCTATCTATCTATATATATATATATATATATATATATATATATATATATGTGTGTGTGTTTGTGTGTATGTCTGTATGCGTGTGCATGTGCATGATTTATATCTGTCTGTATCTATCTCTATATATGTATAACTATATAGATAGACAGATAGGTGTATATATATATATATATATATATATATATATATATATATATATATATACATATAAA